GGTTTAGGGTTTAGTTTAGGGTCTCGGATTTAGCCGATGCCAGCAAGCTGAACTGGGACGATTTAAGGTTTGACTGGTGCCCTTAAGCGCATAAACCCTAATCCCGAAACCCGAATCCACGAACCCCAAGCCGTATGGCATAGAACCGCTAGAATCTAAGGACTTTAGGAGGGACCCCTAATAGGGACCCTTAATCCCATTACCTTAAATAACCATTGTATAGTCCTTATATACCCCTTGTATAGCCAGGTAGTNNCTACAAGGGTCCCTGTTAAGGGTCCTCCTAAAGCCCTTAGATAGAAGCCAGTTATCGAACAGGATCGAACCCCAAAGATCTCCATTGACCTAAAATCAGAAGCCCTAAATCCTCCCCTAGCCCTTCAACCCCCAAACCGTAACCCTAAACTCGAAAACCTAAACCGTAACCCCTAAACCCTAAATCCTAACCCCTCAACCCCAACCCCTAGACCTTAAACCCCATCCCATCCTCTTGCCAAGGTACAGGGGTGATGAGCATCGACAAGGAGATGCCCGAGAGGAGGCTGTAAGAGATGAAGAGCCAGCGAGTCCCGGGAGCTATGCCTCGACTCGGCGGATTCTTAGGGTTCAGGGTTTGGGGTTGTGGGGGTTTTGGGTTTGGGGTTTAAGGTTTGCAGTTGAGGGTTGGGCTTTCAGGGTTAAGGGTTTTGGGTTTGGGGTTTGGGGTCTAGGGTTTGGGGTTTAAGGTCTACGGTTTACGTTTCACGCTTTTGGGATAGGGTTTAGGATTCCAGGGCGATATAAGGATACTACGAGAGTTCTATATGAGGCTTTTGCGCAGGTGCTTGCATACAGGCTTTACAAGGGCCATGCGGTTGTTCTCTCGGTTTTGCCGGATCTTTGGGTTCAGTTTGTGGCTTCAAAACAGATTCACGCTTGGGATGCAGCTCATGGAGGTTCCTGGTAGCAGGATCCCAGTTCTTGCGATCCCATCACATTTTCTGAAACCGCAGAGCTTTGATCCTAAACCCTAAACCCTACCCATACCCAAAAGGTTTCTTGGATTTCCGCTATCAACCCAAAAGCCCTAGAGAAACAATCCAAGCATGTCCTGTGGTTTTGAGTCTACCCAGAAAATACCAGGGAAATCCAACAAATCCAAAAAGGACGTTAATCCAAAGATTCTGCGAACCTCTTTGGATTTTTGGAGCTTTAGATTTCTGAAGCAGTCGACAATTTATTATGCAAGTCCGTCAGGAGGCTCAAACAGAACACAATCCAGTCTAATATCGCGCAGGCACAGTCTTGGGTATGCACAGTTCGTTTATTGCGGTTCTGCAATGTTTGAAGGTTGCCTCGTTATGCTCCGAACCACCGATTTTGTGACACAGCTGTGGGTGGATTTGTGAGTTTCCGACAACAGCAAAGTCATCGGTATTTACGGAGGTTTCTATGCGTTTTACATCTCGGAGAAAGACGGAAGGTGGATCATTGAAGGGGGAGGTGACCATATAAGCCTTATAGAAACCTTCCATACTTGTGATAGCCCTTACAGATAACCTTTATAGTATCCCTTATTTTATAGTAAGCCACTCATTCCTGGCCTTTCACGCTCAGGGAATACCATGATTTCGAGCAGCGACACCAACAAATCCGATTTATCCTGAGGAATTCGGGGCTTCGTTACAAAATCCAAAAACACCCTAGAGAATGTGCTGGTTTTGACCAATGACACCAGCAAAATCCAAACAGTTCCTACGGCTTTTTGATTCTTCCCAGAAAAAACCAATGGAAATCCAACAAACCTGAAAAATGCTAACCCAAAGATACTGTGAACATCTTTGGATTGTTGGATTTGCTGCTGTCTGCAAATATTCGCACTGTTTGTATAGTTCTCTGTTTCAGAATTGAGGCTTTGAAAATAGATTGTATACACCCAGCGTGGGCACTCCTCACGGGCTCACACCAAAGATGCGAACTTCGGCTGGGAGGTGGGGATAATGATTTTGAAACGTGCAAAAGACACGGAAGCAGACAAACTGAACCCCCTCCTATTGTGATATTCCAACAAAACCTTTATTCTGGATACAAATCTTTGATTTGATGGTATGTGTTTATGCTATGTGTTAAAAACCATGGGTTTACATGCCAAAACGCTTGTTCGTTATTCAGCTCTTGTATCCTTAATAGCCAGCTATGTCGACTCCGAATATATTCTACAGCGTTAGTTTCAGGGGCATCTGCTTGCGCTCAGGGGGCCTGCGTGAGGGTTTCCGGTCTCGCGCAAAGCTCGCGACTGCATACAAAGAAAAGTTTATCCAACGTTATGGTGAAAAACATTCGGGGTTTGGTGATGGATTTAGGAATTATGAGAAATGGGGACGACAGTGCAGTGTATGTTTCTTAGCCATGTTAAAATACCCATTTTCCATCCAGTATCTAGCACGCAAACATTATTTGCAATAGACGTGTTTACTATTCAGCTGCTGTAACTTTAATAACCAGCTATGTAATGAATGACCATTCACTAAAAAATTCATGAGCTTAACTCGTCTTTAATGCTCAGTTGATCATGTAGCAAATGCACTGAGAGTTTATAGTAGCTTGTTTCCAACTCAACCTGCTAGCTATTGACAACGTGCCCTTCAGGAAGAAAAAACGAGAGAGTGCGATTACAGTATTCGGTAAGTACTACGTCATAATATGTCAACTAAGCGAGCACAGTTGAAACATAAATGAAACACCCAAAGCAAATATTCGGTTGGTTTAATATCACTGAAACACTAAACTAACTCTGATGACGCAGTAGCCGCATACTGGCGAGATATCATGTAAGCCTCATTGACTGGTACTAACATGCTCAGCATCTATTCATGGTTAGTATTACTCTTTAATTGTGAGCCATCTTCTAAATATTTCTTTAATATCAAGAACGCTTTAAGTGTAAAATCATGAAATATTGGTCGAGTAATTCATGGATACCCAATGCCAGGCGATGTTAATAGTTCATCAATATCAAATGCCAAGCGATTCCATCTTACAAAGTTACGAAGTATTTCAAACAACGGTAAGTCGATATTGAAGAATGAATGAAACGCTTCGTATCTAACAACTGTTGATATTATCCTGTACTTGTGGTCAACTATCTTCTAGATCTCTCCAAAGTACCAAGAACTCCTCAGGCATATACTCATGAGCTTTTATTTGAATTCTTCATGAACATCAAACGCAAGCGATATCACTAATTCATGAACACCAAATTCCCACCGACATTAACAATTACTAAGCTTCTCTCAGAACGGTAAGCCGATAATTCATGAAGAGCCAGCTATCTTCCAAACATGTCCCTAACACCAAATATGCTGTAGATATATACCAATGAGATGTGGGTCTAATATTTAATGAATATCAAAGATATTGATCTGTAGGTACATGCTAGTCTAGTACTGGGTTAGAACTCACTACCTCTTAGAGAAAAATGCTCACTAAATAGTGTTCACACATGGCATCAACATATGCAACCTTATACTGAATGCCAGTCAAACACCAAACGAACATTCAAATCAATGCTGTGGACATACTAACCAGGTACCATTGAAGTACTCAACAAGTTGTCAAGTCCATACTACGTCCCCCCTCATCATCTACCATTCAAAAAGTAAACAGATGCTAAATATCTACAACATCTTACGCTGGAACCCTGAAGAAAATGCTGAACACCACAGAATCGTGTACCATTCATATAAGGTTCGAAAGAAAATTGCAATATTGCTTGATGTTGTACCAGTCTGGTCCCATAGCTTTTATTTCTTTGACTAACGGTGATGAATAATCGGAAAGCCTCAAAGCGCTGAGATCATGCAAAAACCCCATATTCTGGGACATGATCCCGCTTAGAACCTAGACACCTAAACACCTAAAACTAAAGCCTAAACCCTAAACACTAAACCCTAAACACCTAAAACTAAAGCCCTACAGCCTTGAACCCTGAACCGCGCAAGCCTAATATAGGGGCCAATACTATTTTGGGGATTCCTTATTATGGTTATAATCTAATATACCCCAAAACCCTGTTAAAAATTACTCATGCCCCTAAACCCTAAACCCTTATAGTAGCCCTTATAGAACCCAATTGAAGGAACCCTTTAAAGGAACAAAAAAAAAACTATTCCAATTATTAAGGCCCCTATAATTACACCGACATCCGAATGCCAAAAGCTGAAAACCCTGAGACCCCAAAGCTTCAAGAAGCCCAGGCCTTAGCGAAAGGAAAGGTTCTATTAGGGTTAGGGTACTACAAAGGGTACTATAAGGGTTCCTCTAAAGGGTTCTATTAGGGTTTAAGGGTTTAGGGGTTTAGGGGTTTAGGGCTTTAGGGCTTTAGGGGTTCAGTTAGAGGAAACTACAGGTAGGGAGTTTCGGGTTTAGGGTTTAGGGAGTTTGGGGTTTTAGGGGTTTAGGGCTTTGCGGGTTTAGGGGTTTTAAGGGTTTAGGGGTTTAGGGGTTTAGGGGTTTAGGGCTTTAGGGCTTTAGGGCTTTAGGGCTTTAGGGCTTTAGGGGTTTTAAGGGTTTCGGGTTTAGAGGTTTAGGGCTTTGGGGATTTAGGTTTAGGGGTTTGAGGGTTTAGAGTTTAGGGGTTTAGGGCTGAGGGGTTGAAATTCTGCGACTCCACAGAGGCAGCTCTAATATTGGGGCCATGACTGTAGAGTGAGTCAAACAACACCCTAGATAAAAGCATCCCCATTTTGAGGACCCCTCTATGAGGTACCCCGAATTCTTGAAACCCCTAAACCCTAAACCCTAAACCCTAAACCCTAAACCCTAAACCCTAAACCCTAAACCCTAAACCCATAAGTGGAAATGGGCGGCTGTCCAGGAGCAGGCTGGCCACTAGAGAGAGAAGTCCGGCGGACATCATCCGCAGGTAACCCAGCTTCCGGACTGCGAAGCCCGCGATGATGTTGCCTCACTACATGGCTGCAACAGGGTTCAGGGTTTCGGGTTTAGGGGTTTAGGGGTTTAGGGGTTTAGGGTTTAGGGTTTTTTTTTTTTAACGGACCTTTTCTAACCGCAGCAAGAAGTCAGAACGACTAGGTCGAGGGGTAACAACCCTGTACCCTAAACCCCAGACCCTAAACCCTGAACCCTATAAAGGGTTTCTCCCAGGGGTACCACTAGCACTCGGCCTTAACAGGATCCGAATTTGAAAAGGGTGCCGGTATAGGGATGCTACCCGGCGACGGAAACAAGGAAAAGCAAGAGGCTTTGGGATTTAGGGCTTAGGGTTTAAGATTTAGGGTTGGGCATTGGAGAACCAAGTTGCTGAGGTGGAAGACGAAGTCGCGGGAGGAACCTATGAGCGCCAGGGTCCCTGCAGACTCGCCCGTTTGGGATTTGAGTGCTGCAAAGAGCTGCCCGAAGGAGAACTTCAGCCCAAGACAGGTCGCTTTGACCATGAAGGAGGCCAGCACCAGAATTTGCACTTCGCATCGCACCGCCATGGTCTACTGTGGGCTTCGGCGGGTGCGGAGGACTCCAGCAGAGCTCGGCTGGAGATGGCTCATCACAGCCGGCCGCAACAGCCGGAAAAGGGCTCAAACTGCTTGAGAACGCGCGGCCCCACAATGCTGGGCTTCAATCGGAAAGAGCCAGCATGAACATCAATCAACTGTAGTTCTTTATATTTTTTGCAGTCTCTCTCCTGGTAGGCCTAGCAACCCTTATAGTATCCGTGCATCATCTGGCTGCTCAGCGCACCTCGTGAAGAGGACACTCCGAATTGGGACGTTGACGCCTCGGCACTACACTATATAATATAATGTAATATAAGATCGCACTACATAGTACGTAACACAACATAACATAATCATTAGCACTAATGAACATTAATACAACACCTAACATAACATCAATATTAGCGTTAGCATTAGCATCAACATTAAAATTACTGTTGACATAACGTGATATGGCATGACACGACATGACATGACGTACTATACTATAGACTATAGTTTACTATACCGTGCGAGACTCTACTCTACTCAACTCTACTATACTATCATACTGTTGGTGATATAGATCTTGCAGTACCTTAAGGACCCTAAATTATGGGAATTATGGCATATTCCCTGTTATGGATAATGCAGGACGAATATCATCACAACCGTGTCACCACACGGGCTTTTGGTCCTAGCCTCCGGCTTGGACCTTGCATGACGCCGTTCCAGTTCCGGCAAGACCTCTAAATATTGAAATTCCCAATCCCCAAGTCCCTGAACCAACAGAACCATCCTTAGCCCTGAACCTTAAAAGCCTAAAGCGTTTAGGGCTTATGGGGTTTAGGGTTTAGGGTTTAGGGTTCAGGATTTAGCGTTAGAACCTAGAGCTACTAGAGCCACGCACCCTGAAGCCCAAAGCTCTAAAGCCTGAAAAGGTCCTGAACCGCTGCAAAGCCTTGAAGCCGCTGAAGCCTTATGGCTCTATTAGGTTTAGGGTTTAGGGTTTAGGGTTTAGGGGCTTAGGGTTTAGGGTTTAGGGTTTAGGGGTTAGGGGTTTAGGGGCTTAGGGTTCAGGGTTTAGGGTTAGGGGTTTAGGGGGTTTGGGGCTTAGGGGTTTAGGGTTTAGGGGGAAGCAAGAGCGCAATGATTTTAAGGCCTTCAAAACAGGAAGTGCCCCACTTCCATGCGACAGCCCCTTGTACCTAATCTAAGGGTCACTGCAATAAGCAGGTTGGTGCGAATTATAGAGCTACCCTAAACCCTGAACCTGAAGATTAAGCATGGCACCCTAAACCATTAAGCTAAAGCCTAAAATGCCCTAAAACCCGTAAAACCCTCAACCCAAAACCCTGAACCCTGGAACCCTGGAACCCTGACCCTAAAACGCCAAATGTAGGGGCCTTAGTAATTGGAATAGGATTTTGGGAGCTTCCTTGAAAGAACTGTAGGATAATATACCCCAAACCCTATTCTGATCATTAAGGCCCCTACATTACTTTCAGACTCCCTTCTCAGAGTGGCCTTGGCGCAGTTGGCAAAAGTCGCACTGATTGGAAAAAGCAAGATGCTAAGAACAAATGTAAGATATGACTGTTGACATCGAGACACTTTATATAGAGAGAGATAGACAGATATGCAACCATATATATATATATACATATATATATATATATATGGTAGATGCAAAAAGCAAGATAGGCGGCAATTAAACTCGAAAGAAGAAAGACTAGTAGAGTAGCCTTTATCTTTCTACAGCAATGGTACCAAAAAACAGCCAAACTAGCAACGTTCAGGTTGCCCAAACGATAGTCACTGAGACGAAAACCCACGCCGAGTGTGTCAGTTCCGCAGACGAGGGCCAACAACGAGGCCTCCACTGACCCAGTGCGAGGGCTCGAAGGCTTAGGAATTAAACGTATTAGGGTTAAGGGTTTAAGGTTTAGGGTTTAGGGTGTTCGTTGGTTTTAGAATTTCAGGCAATTGTCTTTTAAGGCCTTTGGCTTCGGATTTGAGATTTTAAGGCTTAGGGGAACCTGGAACACTAAAACCCCAAAAAAACCATCAAACCCTAAACCCTAAACCCTCATCTCTAGCTCACAGAGCTTTAAGGCTCGCCATTGAGGAAGCATATGAGGGACAGAGCCAGAGAGCCCAATACCCCTTAACTAACGAATAGACCTCAAGTCATGATAATAAGGCTCCTATAGCTTCAGGTTTGTTCCTTAGCTAAGGGCATTGGGCCCTCTGGGGAGGACTTGAGGCTGAGGCGTCTCGGCTGTGAGGTTTAGGTTCAGGATGCAGTGATAGGCTCGACGGCTACAGGTTCAGGGTTTAGGGTTTAGGATTCAGGGTTTAGGGGTTTAGGGTTTAGGGATTAGGGGTTTATGGTTTCGGGTTTAGGGTTTAGGGTTTAGGGATTTAGGGTTTAGGGGTTTAGGGGTTTAGGGTTTGGGGTTGCTCAGGACTTCGGGCTGTCGGACGAAAGGGCGCTGAATGCTTAGGCTTCAGACATAGTTTGGACCCTGAAGCGTCTAGGGTTTAGGGTTTAGGGTTTAGGGTTTGGGGTTTGGGGTTTAGGGCTTAGGGTGCTTGGTGGTTCACATCCTGGGAACCCAATCCCAAACCTCGAATCCCAACCGCGCACAAAAGCCCAAACCCGAATGCAACGGCCCTAAACCCCGGCATCGCGAGCAGAGATCCCACGCTTATAGCTGATGCCTTGGATTGGGAGATCCGACAAGCATTTACTTGCTAGGGACCATATCCACAACTCATGTTGCAGGTACCCTAAACCCTAAACCCTAAACCCACGGATCCTTCAACGCTGGCTTTTTTGAGACGTGGTGAGTATCGGCCCACCATCACAGGATTCAGGGCTCAGGAACCCTGCTGTAGGGGCCTTAATAATCAGAATAGGCTTTTGGGGGTTCCTCATAGTATAAGATACCCCCAAACCCTATTCTAAATATAAAGCTCTTATATCACACTCTGATTTTGCTTCATCCATAGATCGCAAACAACCTCTGAGCCAATAAACCCTCGCCCTTCCAGCCTTTGTACTAACGCTTCTAGGCCCAAGGCTTTAGGGTTTAGGGCTCTAGGCGCTCATGGTAAAGATTTTAGCGGAGCATCTCAAAGAGCTTCTAAACACCAGCTTCCATCACCCACAGCCCTTTCTGTGGTAACAACCCTTCCAGTAACCCTTATACTGACCCATATGGTAACTCTTATGCGGATCCTTATCTACACCATAAACCCTAAACCCAAAGTCCTAACCCCTAAACCCTAAACCCTAAATCCTAAATCCTAAATCCTAAATCCGGAAACAGAACTCTAAAGTTGGAACGGCCCCGCTTGAGGCTCCAGCCGTGGGACCGCCGTGCCGATGGGTGCCAGTGTATGT